TCCCAGTATCCATGGGGGAGTTCCCGAGCATTTTCCAGGCAGAGGTGTATGCTATAAGCCGGTGCTTAGAAATAAACCTCCATCGCAACTATCGCAATGAACGTATAGCTATTCTAAGCGATAGTGAAGGCGGTCTCCTCTTACGAGATCAGGTCGCTTCTGGTGCAGGAGTGTAGGGAGAGGCTGAATAGCCTTGCGGAGAGAAACCAGGTACACCTGATATGGGTGCCTGGTMACAAAGGTATAGCCGGCAATGAACTGGCAGACGAGCTCGCCCGCTCTGCAGCCTCCACGAGGATGGTAGGACCCGAACCCTCCACAGGAGTGGGTCCCCACACCATCAAGGAGCTGCTTCGTAAAAAGGAGAGAACAGGAAGGGAAGAGCACTGGCGACAAACTCATGGTGTGAGACAAGACAAGCTGCTAATGGGAAGTTACAACCTGAGAAGGTTCAAAATGGTAATTAACCTGCCCAAGAGCAAACTCAGGCTGTTAGTCGCATGGTACACTGGCCACTGTAAGCTGAATGGGCATCTGTACAGAATGGGCCTATCAGCTTGCRSCAACWGCCGGTTCTGTGACAGGGAGCCTGAAACTCCGGAGCATCTGCTGATCGACTGCACAGCAGTCTTTATTCGCAGAGCCAAGGCCCTTGGAGTTCCATTTCCAGATAGGGATCGCATTGCCTCGCTAGCGCCTAGYAGCCTACTGGACTTCATCAATGGGCTGGGGCTAAGTGAGGCAATGTAWGGAAGGAGAGGGCACAATAGACCAAAGGTCGCAGTGCATTCCTCATTATCATTCATTCATTCATTCATTCAGTTTCCGAGTTTAAAAGAAAACCTGGCTAGCGATGAGTGGCCGTGCAAAAGAGGTATCATGGTGAACCAAATTGGTAATGAGTAAAGGACTATTAAAGCAAGTACCAGGTGAGGGAAGACCTACTATACATCTCAAAAGACACGGTGATGATAAGAATTCGTTAAATAATAGTAGAGTTCTTAAAATATCTTGATCTGTCAGGTACAATGGCTCCAGGTTACATATCAGAGAGCTGAGACGCGCATCGTCCGGCCCACCATTCTTACTGGAGAATCCATGTTGAAGTGTTATACATTGATGTTCTGCTCACTATTTATCGTTCCCTCAACAAAAGAAATTGGTCCAGGACCTTCCACCAATATGCAGGTCCAAGTCATTAACTGGGCGGATGTTTTATGCATGGTTTGTTCCGCACCAAAAATTGCTCAGAATCCAACATTCGAAGGACATCATTGTGACCGATTATTTGACATTTTAACCATTAACCACTCCTCACCTATATGGCACCGTGCGACTTCTTCCTTTTCGGAAAAATGCATTTGCCCATGAAAGGAAAGCGTTATGCAGACGTAGAGGCCATTGAAAAAGCTTGCATCGGCGTACTGGCGGATATACCGGCCAACGAGCTAAACACTCTTCGACATGCTTTTGGACCATGTAAAAAGCTGTATTGAAGCAGAAGAAGAATATTTTGAATAAAATAAATTGATTTTTTTTAAGTCCTGTTTACTTTGGAAAGCAGCTTGTATATCGTATATTGGGGCATGGGGCAAATGTGGACTCATTGCATTAAGGTTTGGTATTAATACATACTAGAGTCTATGTTTTGCTATAATTTTGAAGAAAACTCTCACACTGACACATTTATGACTTTAAACAGTTGTTTATCTAATATGAGATATATAGTAGCCGTGAGGCGTGCTACAGCAGAAGGGCATCGTCATGCATTTTTTTTTATTATTATTTTTATTTATTTATTTATTTAACTAAGTGTAGTGGAGTCTACCTGTATAGAGTGTCTACCTCAAAGATGGATTCTTTTAGAAACGATGGAAAGAAGTACGCGCCGGCTTAAATTTATTACCGCCAAATACCAGGTGGCCATGTATTGAGGGGGGGACAAAGAAAATTTATAATTAGGCTTGAATTTAAAATAAAATTCAAATTTTAAATAAAATAAAAAAGAAATTAAATATTGCAATTTAGATTGAATTTGGTCATCATATGCAAAACTCACCGAAGATGGCAGTGTGAGAAGTAAATATCGATACGGAATTTAGCCCCACAATGATGAAATCACGCCACGTAAACAACACAACAAATACTGGGCTACAACCGGAAATCCACGGCACTTCTAGCAACACCCGTCATCCAAAGAAAAATGTTGCGAATGAGCGAGTAAGCAGCACACGGCTTGGGTGAAAGTTCGATTCTCCGGCTAGGCTTAGTGCCCTGACTTGTGAATGCCGTCTGTTAAGGAATAGTTCATCTTCTGACCGATTCAACTATGTCGTCGTAGCACACACGACCGCCAACGCACGTCAGCATCGCCATTTTATATAATTAAAGCAGGAGAAATTGTAAATATGTATAAGAAAACATAAAATAAAGTACGATTTGTGAAGAGCCCTTTAGTTTACAAAATTATTTTAACGAATCCCTGACACGGCGAGTGTACCTCACCAAATTACAGGAAGCAGAGCTAGCAAAAAGCTTTGTTACAACCTACAAGTAGGACGCCGATCCAAAAGACGTAGATAAGACAAAAATTCGCCTTCTTCAGATTAATGTCATGGCGGTAAAATCGCCTGATTTCGTTCTCTTTTAGAAGCGATGAGTTAATGGAGGTGTGGGGATACCGTGATATAATTGGTACATTGCAAACTGCAAAGATACGGCTAGGACATGTGTTGTATAAGGCTAATAAATACCTCATGTTATGTAGATATAGAATTCACGACAACACAGCAGTGAGCTGGGGACGAGCAGTAACAGATACCGAAGTACCATTGAAGCTGTTAAAAGAGCTGATACAGGACAGCGAAACATCCAGGTGACTCCAATGCACGCCACACAATAGGGGAACGAAAGGGGTTAGTTGCTTATTAACTACTTATTTGGCACTAGGTTATTGTTATGTAACAGACATAATAGGCCAACATTCGTAATTAGGAAACCGGAAGCAGGTTTTAGACATTACACACCTGTGTAAAAAACTAATAAATAGGCTAACAATGGAGATAGCGGATAACCGTTGCATTGAATGCATAATAATAGGGAATGTAGGCAGGGTAGAATATTTCAGGAATCATAGAAAAATAAACTGACAGATGCCCCTGCAAGGACTAAAAATCGTATTCCCAGAAAACCACACGAAGTAGAAGAGGAGGCGACCATTAAACATATTCTATCTGAGTCTAAAGCTCCATATTAGGAAAAGAATCGCAATTACCTGGCAGGGGTTTTTCGACGACTCTCTGAGGATGCTCATTTAAAACTTTTCGTATTAATGATCTTCATCAGAAGTACGGGGTGCTTCCGAGAGGAAACAATAGAGTGAACTATAGACCCTGTGATATCACAATAAGCCTCTTAAAGGCCTAGGTGAATCATAAGACCACCACTTTACCTAACTTACAAACTTTTCACACTGAAACATAAACTACCATAATAATACTTTGCACTAAATTTGGTTAATATTGTTCGAGTAGTTACTAAGATATATCTAGAACGCTACCATGACCACTGTACAATTTTTCCCTTGTGCTTTGTACATATCTTCCTTAAAATAATCGAGTGTGAAATGTAATGATTCCGATGTATTTATTTTGTGAGTTATCGTATTTGGAGTAGTCTTCAACTTTCACGCGGGAAATCAGAAAATTTGTTCGATTTTTGTTCTTAGCAAGTTTGATCGCCTTAACTTCTGTGGTTTCATTTTTAAAAACATTAAAGCCGCAGAGGCCCTTCACACTTCGGCTTAGTTATTGCATATGTTATAGTTATAGTTATATGCTTCCGATTAAATTCATCTTTTTATGAGAGCAATTGTCTGATTTAACTCATTTACGTACCAAGTTTAATAAGATTAATAAGAATAAGTATTCATATTTCTACTAAAATTGTCGCTTACACGGGCAGATAGTTATCTGCTCTTTAATTCGTCCCGATCATTTATAGTTACTTCCATAATTATTTAGCATAACCAAACATAAACATAAATTATATATTTTCGGAATAATAAGAAGCAGAAACTTATATTCATCTGTTCATTTATGTGATTTTATTTAACGAATCATTATCAAAGGAAGCTTCAACGATGCTAATTACTAATTTCATACTCTTGCAACTTTCCACGATCAATGTACGGGAATACCTTTGGATGCATGAGGTTTGTAAATAATATGGGGTTTAGGGGAAGTTTTCATCGGATTTATCCATTTAGGCATAAAGAGGCACCGTTATTAGAAAAACACGCTTCCTCAATTTTATTAAAATAACTCACATTTGCCGATATATGCGGTATAAAATTAACTGGAAGTTCGAAAATCTTTCTATTAGGTATATAGGCGTAGTTGTAGTCCAAATGTCAAAGTGACATTATATATTTATATAAATATTAGGTCGAGAGATGTGGCTTTTCACCGAAATGTTACTGTGCCCATCGACTTCCCCCTGCGGGTAGGGGGGACCCCTCCAGGTTGGGGGGGAAACCGAATATACCCGTGGTAAGGCATGSCTGTCGTAAGAGGCGACTAAAATCCACATGCACTATGTCTGTCTTTTTGGGCTTGCCTTGAAAAGTCAGCATAGTTCATGTCAGACATAGTGCTATAGTATTCATCGTAAGATTTTTATTGTACGCTATGTTTTCTATTCCTGGTACCCCGACAAGTCAGTGAAACATCGCGTTCGAATGTTTTACGAGACATGTCAATCATACAGCCGGGTTCTTGGRTTTCCCAGGGGCTCGACTGGCAGTAGCGCTACAATATGTAGTGCTACAGGTCACACCAAAGACTATAACATGGTACCACGGGGAGCAGTTTGCCCTTGGAGTTCGCTCCAATCYGCTCATTGGGTTKTTGGCCCTTTGTGGAGATTCGTGGTGGCTGTGGTTTAAACCTAAATGCAGGAAGGGCATTTGTCCAATGTGGAGTCGCACCGCGGCCGGGTGCCGGACCCAGAGTACGGCAGAGGTTTTAGATGGGCCTCGTACCCGACCAAGGTGGCTAAGGGTGGACATTAACACACACCCTAACCAATTGGAACCTGAGTATGAGTGTATGTGGCGGCACTCATGCTTTGGTTCTCCAGAGCATGAGTGTAGGTGCATGCACTTGTGCTTTGGGGCGCTGATCAACTCATTGTTTTGATCTATGTGCTTCTAGCAATAGAAAGCACCGTGGGGTTAGGCCTTCGCAGGCAGGAACTCACGTAAAACCACAACGGACTCTGTGCCCATCGACTTTTTTATCTCTGGCTCCTATAAAGCTCTCTTGTTATATCCCAGGTGTGAATTTTAATGCCTTTGGGGTTTTTGAACAGACTCTAACTTGTCAGAATGGATTTTGTAACTAGGGTTCCATACAACAGATACATATTCAATATGGGTTAAACACAGTTGTAAAAAGTGTTTTATTAACATTCAAATATCTAAATTCTTTAGATCGACGTTTACCAACGTAACACATTTTGCTTTCAAGTTTATTTTGCCAGTTACAGTCCATAGTAACTCCCAAATTAATAAAGTGAAAAACTTGTTCTGTAGTATTTTATTACATAAGGATAGGGGTGCCCAGATCTACGAGAAAAGCACCTCGCCTTACAATTCATGATTCAATGGCGAATAATTTTTCACGCCAAGAAACCAAATTTTTTAAGTTTGTTTGCAACAGACACCTTCCATTTGTTGAAGTACATATGTATATGATTTAAAAAGCTTTACGTCGTCGGGCTAAGGTGACTACCTTGAGGAACACCTAAATAGACATTAAGTTAATCTAAAAAATATCCTCAAATAGCACTTGTTGTGTTCTATTATAAAGATAAGAAGATAACCATTGAAGAAAGGGTAAAGGGTGTTGAAAGCTGAGAAGATCAAGTTTATGTACGAGAGTGGAAATACTTGCTTTAGCGAAAGATTTGTTCCTTAAAATATATTTGAAATAATTTTTCTGGAAGCATGAGGGTATTAATTCTAAACTGTAATTAAAAGGTGGTTTTAGATAATTAAAAAATCCTTAGACGTTGGAGCATCAATAGAAGAGTTGGTAGGAAATTTTTTTAGGATAATTAGTACAGTAGTTTTACTTGAAAATTTGTTCAACAATTTCGTGAATTTTGCGTTTGGAATCTTATATGTACATATGTAACCAATCCTGATGAAATTTTCAAAGGTTGATGGCTGTGATTCGTTAAAGGTTTAGACATAAAAAAACCGTATGCTTTTCATGAGGAAAAGTTGGGAAATTGGACAATTTCAAATAATAATATAACAAGAATTTTTTTTTTAATTTCTTTGTTGTTTTGTTTTTCAATTATTTGAATCGTTCAAATGTGTCATTTGCTGTCTTTATTCCAGCTATTAAAAAAAATATATATATTGAAATTATTCCGTGAAAACTTTATGTGTGGTTCACACAAAGTGACATACGTGCGGAATTATGGATCGCGAATGTTCGGACATTGGCCAAATTATCGTAACTATGATTCCTTATGTGCATGCGCAATGTTAGCTGCCAAAAATACTGATGTTGTTGACTTAAACTGGAAGATTCAAAGTCAAACTCCGGTCTTCCGATCATCTTGACAATAAAGACGTCGCCGTGTATTATCCTGTGGAATTTCTAAATTCTTTGGGAAGGCGTGGTATGCCACTTCATCATTTGGGTCTCAAAGTAGGATCTGTCGATATTATGTTTCGCCATCTTCATGCGCCAAAACTGTGTAATGGAACCCGACTGATTGTGACGCAGCTATCAAACACAAGGATGCAGAATGCTTGGCGTGGCGTGCTCACGAGATTGACAACTATCTTTTCTGTACACACAGAAACCAAAAAAATTTGATGTTTATTAAGCTGCGGAAGATTGAAAAAAAAATTAAATGATAAATTCAACTTTCTTTTCTTTTCAAAACACATAATTTTAAGTATATAAATGTAAATAGAACACCTCCTCCGATTCTGTTCAGTGAAGTTTTGAAAATGTTTCTGTAAATCCAAATCTGTACTATTTAAGTACAAATTGGTTAATTTGCTATTAATAACTCTAACATTGTGATAATAAATACTAATAGCTTTTGGGGAATTGAGCTATTTGGATGTAGACGGTTTATCACCTTGAGAGCAAGCTGAAGAGAGGTTTATAGGGTCAATTGGAGGAGAAGTACTCTTTCGTACGGAATAACTATGTACATTACTTTATCAAAAAGACTTTTACGCATAGGGACGAGTTTGGAGGATTCGTTAAAACTATTTAGTCCTTTAAAAGACTTTTCCGACTGCTCGTAGTGCCTATATTTTCGCGTTACAAGATCCCGACGATTTTATTAAAGTTATTGCTCGTCTGCTTATAACATTTAAATAGATGAACTTCATTTCTCACCGTCATGAATAGAATATG